CTGGTTACAATCATGAAAACTGCAGAACGGTTCTCCGCCATAAATTTGTAGGCGGGTGTCGAATCCTCGGTCTATGCGACTTCTCAGGACTGTGGGGGCCGAATGATCAACGGAAGGAGGCCAACCTACAGGACTGTACTCAGGGCTATTCCCTTCAATGCTCAACACCCGGTTAGGAAACGCTATGGACTGTGTTCTGGTTGACAAATCTGTATACGGACCATGGCTTGGGTTCATATTTCTATAATATCCCACAGAGGCTCATCAAATTGCTTGGTTCGTTGTTTTTTTAAGTGTCAATTGAAAGGCGAAGCGAGTAACGAATAAATATAGACCTGTGTTATGACCGACAAATTCTTCGGTCATAAGAGACTTCCCAGAGTCTGAGAACGGAGAGCAGACGAACAAATCCGTACGATAGAGGCGACTGATATAATGCCGTACATGCCAAGCTGGAGTGTCCTATAAATTATGACATAGAACGCTGAAAAAATATGTGTCGTACAAATACCTCACCTTGTCGCACACACGATCAAACCCCTTGTTTTGTGTTGTGAATTCGATAAACTTTCGCAACATTTTCATCGTGTTGGAAGCCATTTTGGATCGTTGCAGATGAATCTGCTTATGACCTACCCATGATTCTTTGCGGAGCGTCATGAAATGCTGACACGGTAAATACCCTCAATAAACGTGACGTGTACATACTTAGCCTGGAATCTATCCATTCAAAGTGCCCTTTTCAGTTATTCGTAGAATTTTCAAAGTCTCACGATAACAGACGTCATCTAGTTTTGTACTTGCAAAATAGTAAAAGTATTACCGGGTACTCTGAAAACATACTCTTTGTCATGACTTCAAATGATGCAAGATTCTATGTGACTTTTTTGTAATATTATTTCAGTGCCATCAAAGATTGGTAGTTTTTTTTATGTATTTACGCACAATCTTGTTCGTGCGTTCGTATACATCGTACGGTGCCGATCGACCATATGAGAACGCGCCGATGCAGCACACGCGATAAGGAGGTCAAAACCTAAGTACCTGTTTTCGGACTTCGTCAACACGGGGATTAAATCCTACGCTATACATACACCATTTTAGCGAGTACGGTATGAGTGCCTGAAGGCCTCTAAGAGTGTAGTATTATGCTTGATAGTAGTTCATTGTAAATCCTGGATTGGTTAATAGGTCTGGTCGTTGACAAATTATATTATTATTATACCTTGTTTTCGTGGAGGATTACCTTTGATTTGTGAACAAGCCAAATAACTGTAACCTTTTCTGCTCAATAAGGTATCTTTCTATATAAATACCTGTAACAGGAAGATAATCCTTGAACACCACAACTATATCGGTCAGTACGACCACAGTCGCACTTTGAACTTCGCACAACATTCCATTTTCCCAGGATTTGTTTATGTCTTATACCGCAAATAATTCTGAATGCGGTTATTAAAAACTAGTACCAGGGGGATCTTGCAATGCAGCTTTTTACAAAATGGTATTGGGTATAATAATACAAATATTGACCCAATCCGCGGTTGATATACAGCCTGAGATTTGCTGACCTTCTGACTGCATTGTTGACTTCGGCTTCGCCTCGGTCATTGCTCTCTCAAGTTGCCCTATCATCACGCATCGCAATGTCTTTTAATTTCTAAGTAGATTACAAGTATATCAGTCGTTTCAAAACGTCGCCCTTTAACAAATGTGTCGCTACTTAGTGTTTTATTATAAATAGTTACATTCGGCCATAAAACATTGCTGTTCTATAAGGACGCCCTCAACGTGGCCATTAATTCAAGATTCTTTAAATAATTGTTAATGTTTCTAAAAGTTGCCTTATCAACAAATATATTGTAACATTACATACCAACCGAAAAAATGCTAAAAGCAGATGATGTGTATATGTACGAGTCGCTTATCAAAATATCTCTTTCTGTCAATGAAATTAATTTATTTATAATACATATTATATATCAATTGAGTGATTATGAACAATCGATATTATATAAATATGTATGTATTTTCTGGCATAAAACCGTGTCGTTCTTTGACCCGAACTTTTCCATTATTTCCATGTCTTTACCTAGAGCGTTAGTTTATACAAACCTGTTGCATTCATTTAAAAAACAAATTATTTTCACATAGTATTTTAGATTTACATTAAACAAATATCATTTTCATCATATAAGTCAACACAAAACAATGGCACTCTATAACCATGCCCTCAAATTGACAGGTATTTCACGCAATGCCTAAAACGACCACGATATTGGTTAAGAATTAATATTAGTAAGAACAGTCATTTTCCAGCAAAAAAATTCCACCCTGTTAGTGTAACAGCGCACTAAATATAACGACAAATAATCGGTGTTTCATGTAAACCAACGACACTAGAAAAAGATTTTCTAGTGTCTTTGTGTAAACCAAATATACACTGCAGTTCTATCAAAAGCAACATTTTGTGAAACACCTTGTAACCAGGCACGCGCTAAACGTGAAGAATATTTATTATTTTGTCAACAACAACAACAACAACAACAACAACAAAACTAAAGAAAAGTTATTTTATATATTACCAGAGGTACATTACTTGGGGTTACTACGGTGACATGATACCAAGATCCCGTCACAATCTCGCTCTCGCATAAGCGTTTCAACTCAGAAAAATGCGAATGCGCATGCCCGTGGTAACTAGGATACTGGGATGTCCAGGTGGATCAAAATAGCTGCCAACGATATGACGGATTACGAGAACTATATTTTCTGTACATTTTCGATGTAGTACATGATAGTGACAAGAAAAGTTTTATTTTTTCATTACAAACCTTGAACATTGATATGTGTCATGTCAGAAGGTCGTAGCCTCAGTCTCGTTATCTACGAGAAGAGACTTGAATGGGATCTTGACATGATGTTACCATACAGTACTATGCGAGTTGCAAACCCCAAGTAATGTACCGGCTTCAGATATTTTAATTTTCGATGACATTGTTTAATCTACGTTCTATCCAAGTCCAATCCCAATTTCTTGCCTTTTTCTGCAATAATCCTGCAAAATTTGGTTATCACGTGGACACCAAGAATGGTGGTTCGGTATTGTTTGGTTTGACATGCGATCATGTTCACAATTGGTTTCTAAAAATGACTGGATCAATTTCAATTAAAGCTTATATGATTGTAATACAATATGAGTTGCTGTTTTTAAAGCAGTTTCCAAGACTAGTTTGATTTCAGTAAAATTTGATAGTAGCTCGGTGATTTTTCCCGATTTTTTTCAGTTGGCAATCCATATCGTCATTATTAGTCAAGGTGAAATTATTATTGAGGACAATGTCGTTTCATAAATGAAATTGTTTCCCTTTTTATTTACGAATAATCTCACCTAAATTGAGTAATAACATTACAATTCTAATATTTTACTCCCTACCCGAATAAATAGTAATTACTCATGCTTGCCAAGTTGTGAGTACAAGTGTAATACTTTTAGTACTGACTGGTTATTCAACATCAACTCTCGTATTTCTTCGATACACATTTCAATATATTTCGGCATTTCTACAAGCTACTAGTATATACAATTGCGTAACGTTAGCATACATCATAAACTGCAGGGGCGGATCTAGGATTCTGGTGGGGGCGATAAGTTGGCCGAATGCCAAGTTCGCGAGCGCCGACGATGGCGGGAAGTCCTGTTGGTTGTTAAATCCGCCAATGAACTGTAACGAATATTTCGATGATGATGATGATGACGTCATCAATTCCACAAACTTATTATATGAAGGAATATGGTATCTTGGAATGTACTTTTCCCTAATGACCTCATATTAGTAAATGGTATTCGTCTTCAATTCCAGAATTATTGCATAAATGGCAGACTCGGTCACTTCTTTCAATACCATTTTTCCTGTCGATTTCTATCCTGAGACAATGAGCAGGGCAACGAAAACGCGAAAACACACACTTGTGAGCGGGGGACAGACACGGAAAATAAATATCGTTATTTATTTTCCGTAACGAATATTTCAACATACTAGTAATATATTCTAGGTGACTATCACGGGGAATATTCTTCTCCACGGGGTTCTCCACACTTGTCAGGGGGGAAACTCTTCTCGTCTCTATATCTAGTCCCCTTGAGGTACGGGATCAGGAAAGTCACTTATACTTTACAGTCAAATAAGACGCACACAACGAAATACGTTTCAACTCTCGTCTTAGTCGATCAGTCGAGCGCTCTATAAGACACAGCGCCCTGGGGAAAAATCCCCAAGACTATCGCAAGGCTGACCCAAGACTCTCTTAGACTGCGTCAACACTCGCCCCAAGGCTCTCCAGGACTGGACCAAGACTCTTCAGGACTACACTGCGTCTCTTCTGGTGTACTCGCCAAGACCAACCAAAACAACTTGAACTTTATTCATTTTCAAAACTCTAACCAATTACAAAACAGTAAAAAGACTCTAGGGCGTAACATTCAATCATAAAGCCAATCACACTAAGTACTGAATACGTCATATCTTTTGATTAATCGTTCACTACATTAATAACTACGGATACCAACTGTCAGAAATCGTAGTCAGAATAGCGACGGTTATCTCGGAATTAGTTCCAAATCACTGAGCCAAGTTCCGTCCAAAACTTCAAATAGGCTTAAACGATGACAGACATAACACAGCAATTCGCTAATAATCAGCTAATTAAGTCGGTCAACAGATACGCGTAAACAAATTCATGACATGACCACAATACAAAGTAAACAGAGTAGAACATAGGACACGATTATACACCACGTGGTAGATTACGTGGTTCAGAGCTAACATTATCAATACAAACACGTTCCGTTTTTCCTCTATAAATACGAAGAAAACCAGGTTACATTAATTATTAACTCCAAAGCGAATTTGTAACAGTTTCAAAAGAACTGCATGGTCTAACGTATCAATGCTCGGCCCACATCTAGTAAAACTACTATCACGTCCAATCCGATTTGTCTATGGAAACCACTAAGCCGTTACAGTACAGTAAATTGACGAAACGCCGACTGAAACTTGATTAAAGCATGGAAGGTAAAGTGAATAACTTGACAGTTACCCGATGTAGCTGTTCCACAGTGACCTTTTCAATAACCTTACCAACAAAAGGCAAATACTAGTAACAATCGGGCGATAGATTGTCATTAACATCAAGCCCAGTTTTCTTCAATAAAGGACGGATAATCGCTTGTCTAAGACATCAAGAAAAATACCATATGCATGTCGTTGATTAATTTTTCAATTTTAGGCCAAAAATATTCAGTGTTAAATGTCATTTACAAGTCTATAATACTCAGACTGAAAAATATAATTGTTGTTGATCCATTCTTTTTTGACGGTGGAGGGTGGGGGGAGGGATCATTGACTTGAATAAAATAAAAGTTTCAATCTTGGCATCAATGCTTTCACAAATGAAACAGCAAACCGACACCTTTGCGCGACTTCCATGGACAACTGTGTATATCATATCCAGACAAAAGTGAATGAAATTCTTTTACAATCAGATGTTGTTTGGGTGAATTGATTTAGCACGATTCAGTAACAACAAAACATCGATTCGTTTTTACCTGTAATTGTTATTAACAGACCTACCATTCCATAAACCGA